CAAGAAGGAAGCAAAACACGGGCCAGACCAGCAACTTCCCTTTGAAAAATTCCCTATGAACAAGAACACAGGCAGACACACACACACACACACACACAGGCAGACAGGTACAGGCACAAACAGACAGATTGACAGAAATAGACACAGGCAGACAAACAGGGACAGACAGGCAGGTATACAGACCCTCTCAGAGTGCCAGCACTCACCTTATAGCTGATCATCTTAGAGATCTTGGTCCTGGCAGTGGCTGGGGCCCAATTCTCCCCAGAGTCTGGATTTGTGACCCTCCAATGCTTAACATCTCTTTTTACCTCCATCCCGCTCTCTGCCTCCATCTCCATCGCCTTTCCCTCGGCCCCCGTCGCCTCCTTCCCGCTCTCCGTTACAGCCGGGTACACATGGGCGGTGCTTAAGTGTGACTGGGACGTGACACAGAGGACTTTGTGCCCCTCCAGCGTCCTGAGCTCGCACACGCGCAGCTCTGACACGCACACACCCTCCCCCACGCGTAAGCACTGCTGCCAGCACAGGTGGCCAACGTCCTACAGACACATGGGGGGCAGGAGGGGGGTGAAGGAGGAACGATGCAGTGGAGAAGGAGAGAACACCATAAAAATGAGCGCATTTGACTTCAACTAGTCAGACAATGCCAGTCTTTTTATCAATATAATTCATAAATAATAATAAGTGATAATAACTGATACTTTATTGAAATTCCCTTTATGTTTCCTCCAAGGTGATCACGAAGGGCAACCACCCTTAACCAGGGAGCTAGAGGTTAAGGGCCATGCTCAACGACCCGCAGATGTGCTGAGGCCGGGCTCGAACCAGCAACCTTCTGATCACAGGCACAGAGGCTTATGCTACGTTCACACTGCGAGCGGCGAGAGCGTCAAAGCGACCGGAAGTCATTCATTCTCTATGGGAGGGAGCGTCGGGAGGCGTCGAGGAGCGGCGCGTCGAGGAGCGGCGCGGCGCGGCGCGTCGCGATCTGGGCGGCGGGAGCGTCAGACAGAAGTTGAATCCAGTCAACTTTATGGTAATGAGCTGTGACGCGGTTGGGCGGCAACCAATGGGAATGTAGAGATGCTCCGCTAAAGAGAGCGCCGCAGAACATAAGCGTGTAAACTTTTGTTCCGACCCAACCGTTCCTAGGCACAATGGAGGAGAGACTTATTATTGCTGTGGCCGGGTACCCAGTTATATATGATGTGTCTCTGTTTGCATACAGGGACATAAATAAAAAAAATGAGGCATGGACTAGAGTGTCCGAAACAATCGGTGTTCCAGGTGAGATGGTGAAGTGCATAATATATTTTTTTGTGAAAAAGGAAGGAGATCAGTAGTAATTTTGGCGCCATAGCAGAGAAAACAGTGCAAATTGTCCGTAATGTTAAACCTATTTATAGCATTAGTGTTTGTCAAAACATAATTATGTGTTTTAGTAGAACTGTCGTGAAACATTTTAAGTACTATTTATGTTAACTAAAGAAACATAAAGCACAAGCAACTACTTGGCGATCATCCATTGTGATCCAAGGTAAATTTAAAAAGAAGCGCTACACTATTTATAGGTAACATTTTCCCTCCAGAACGCTTGATTTTAAGCGGGAATGCAAATAACTGGCTCACAACAATATTTATTTGACAAATTATGTCCTATCAGGAGTCGGTGCAAAGATATAAGCTACACGTTTCTCACAAGTTCAAGTTCTCACAAGTTCTCAGAGCCTGGCATTCAGAGCGGCCTTGTCCCCGCCCACTCTATGACGTCAGAGAGCGTCTCCGGCGTTGGGTAGCGTCGCGTTCAGGGCGGCGGGAGCGACGGCTGGCGTCTTTGACGCTCGCGGTGTGAACGTAGCATTAGCCCACCGAGCCATATGCTGCCCCATAATACACACCTGTTTTACTATAACGCATTTCCTCCACCAGGGGGCAGCAGCTAAATGCTCATAATCTGTAGGTCGGTAATAGCAGTGAAAATCTCTGCTAAATGGAAGGCAAGTTAATGTTGAATCAATTGCTTAAGGAAAGCTATCATTTTTCACAGGACTGTCCATAAGGTGTCACTGGTAGATCACTATGCGCTGGCTGTCACCAACACATCTGAGTAATAAAAAATCTGAGTAATAAAAACAAAAAAAAGAATGAAAACAACAGCTGGGGAGTAAAGTCTGCTGAACTCTCGATTTTTCTTCCATATCCTCCCCCCAGACACTCTCCAGTCGACTCACCAACACCAGGACGGCCACGCTGCTCTCCCCGTCCTTCAGACAAAAGCAGAAGAAAGATTTCCCGGCAATGTCCAGCAGGGGGCACAACACAGACACCACACCGTGCACATGCAGGCGGACCCCTCCCTTTCGCCGCCTGCCAACAGGGCCAGCATAACATCGGAATAAAGAGCACGAATGGCAGTGGAATGTCCAATAAAACGTCATATGATCACTAATCATATATCCTCCACCTTTGCTGCAGCACTTTGATGACATCTGCCACAGTAATGACTTCAGAACAGCTCCTCTCAGGTGCAACAGAAGCTACGTCAAGTATCAGGGGCACAGGAGGGGCAGTGAGCTCCAGGAAGCCCCTGGTCTGTTGATTCTGTGCAGATGGATTCTGGGGGATGTAGTTCCAGCTGGGAAACAGCATGAACTGTTGGAGCCAGTTGGGCTGGGCACTAACAGCCTAGAGAGACAAATTGAAAGTTAATAAGCCCCTCTGGTGAGATAAACCACAGACAGGAAGTTTATAGTACACTGAGGAACTTCATGGAAGCCTCATCACCTTGCAGCAGACGCTCAAACTCCGATCTCTCACCCTCCAGGTTCCATCACACCCACTGGTCGCACTCGGCTCAGCACACTTCCTGTCAGTCAAGTAGCCAATCAGCAGAAGATTGGCTCGTGGTAGAGCTTTGTGATTGGGCAGCCGCTGCTCCGCCTCCCTGGCCCATTCTCTGTACTGATGGGTGCTCCAGGTGAGATGACTGCAGCAGGGAATGTTCTGCCTGCTGACTAATTCAGACACTGATACAAAGCTGAAAAAAGAAAGAAAGAGAGAGAGAAAGAGAGAAAGAAAGATTTAGACCATATTTAAAAATGAATTTAATAATAATATTTAATAATGAATTTAATAATATTCCAAAATCATTGCAATCCTGTATTCCATAATTTGTTATAGAAGATGAATAAAATTATGCTTATTCTGACTTCAATTAATAGAAAAAAAAAGAGTTTCCACATCAGGAAACTGCCAGATTAAACACAAATACACAAATACTTAAGCCACGTAATCAAGCTAAGTCTGACTAAACCTAACCCTTATCAACAGCTGGATCTATCAAGGATATCAACACTGCACATCTTCAATAATGGTTTTCTCACAGTCTTTAGATACTTAAATTTCGAACGGTTCATGTTCATTAGTGACACTGAAATTCCCTTAACATGTGTTTCAGAGACAGACAGAACTGTAGGACATCCTGGGTTTTTTTCTGCTTGACACCCAAAGCCATAAAACCTAACCGAATTCAGCCCAGTCTCCAATCGACCCATTGAAAAACAAGCAGGCTCCTACTTCACCTGTAGCCGAGTGGCATTACGGGGGACTGGGAGTCCAGCAGCTCCTGCAGCCCCCTGACCGCAGCCAAAGCCAGCTGCCCCGCAGACGGCGCGGCTGCGCAGTTCGCCCTGGGACATGCGCTCGCCTCGGCGCACTGATACAGCTCCCCCAGCAAGCGCAACTCCTAATCGGAGAAGGTCCGAGTCACCACTTTTCATTATACTAAAATATTTAATCCTCAACAAAATACATTTTTAAACGGCGCAAAATATTTATACTACGTATAGCATATCTGACAATGGTACTTTTGCCCTGCCACACTTTTACAAAAGAGTTAAAGAAAACCAAAATAAATAACACAGTGACTTTAGCAGAAATATTATTCATTCGACACAACGATCAATAAAAAATATATATTTGTGATGTTAGATTATTCAGCCGGACGATTCTAATAAAAGTCAACATTGGTGAATGTCGAATTTATTATTAAGGAGCAAACCATTAAAAAAACCTATATATTTTCCAAGCCCACACTTCATGCTTCCCGAATGAATCGCTTGTTTTAATGAATCGCGGAGTGCTCTCACTTCATCGCACACATTACATGGGATTTTACTAACTTTGACATTCAGCCTTTCTGCGTCTTGGTCATTCAGTATGTCAGCATTAAACAGCAAAGAGGCATCATGCGCATCTTCTGAATAAGACACACGAGTTTACTCACAGCTTGATTTCTGTCTCTGAATTGTTTCAGAAACGAGTCCATTTTCCGTTGATTTTGGTAAAATTATCCTACCACTTGCAGAGCTCCGGTCACATCTTACCCTACATTTCATGCCTATGTCGCAAATTAACAAGCTACCTAGAGAAACATACATGTCAAACCTCATTTCTTTTCCATTTTACGATCTTGCAACACCAGCAAAAACGACACGACATAACCACATAAATACAGCACAGTACAACAACCCCAACACTCAAAATTTGAAATAATCGCCGAAACACTCATTCTTCTTCTGTAAAAATCACTTTAGATATTATTACACGAAAACGGTATAGCGCCATCTAATGTAGTGGATGACGATATTTTAAAAAAACACCACCGTTTTCTTGGGACTATCATCAGCGCATGTCCCCCAACAACCTATAGGGGGAAAATTATTTGTTAGGTACTGATCAGAGAACGTCCGATATTTTGGTGCAGTTCTGGCAGTTTTATGCACTTTTGAGTTGTCTGCGTAATTCTGTATTACCAGAGCGACAATGAAGGTAGAATCCGCTTCCCATTTGTCACACAATTAGTTCCGTGCTGAATACGAAGGTAGGACGATATATTTACGTGTACATTTTTTTTTATTCAGCAAACGATTTTGTCTGACGCATCTCGTTTTATTATTTCTTACAGGAGGAATTCATACAAAAGTATTTGCATATAAGGCTATCCATGCATGTATACATACATTTTTTCACGTATAAAAAATGCACACAACTCCCACACAGATGATCGATTTAGAAAATAAATTGGTTGATGGTTGATTGGATGGGTGGGTGTTTGGATGGATGGATGGATGGATGGATGGGCGGACGGATAAAACATTTGTAAACCAGCTGGTGTAATCCGGAATATGAGGAATGTGTTTTCTTTGCTACTGTGGCCATGGTCTCCACACTGCACTGCCAAGGGCCCCATGTGTCTCTGGAACGGGCTTCATGTCACCGCCATCATCAGCCCCCTGGCTCAGTCTCTGCAGGGCCTGTCTCTGCACTGCTGAGCCTGTGGGGGGCACCCAGGCAGCTGGCCCCAGGTGCTGGGAGGGCATTTGGCAGCCTGAGCCAAAGGCCACCGCCAATGCAGGGTCATGGGGGACAGGAGCGACTGTAGGGGGCGCCGTCAGGGAGAAATGTGTTGAAGGTTGCACTGGAGGTCCCTGGAACAGGCCGTCCCTGTCGCACTCCATGGTGACCAACAGCTTGTGGCTCCTGTTTGTAATGAAGCGGCCTACTTTCAGCAGGCATGTCTTCATGCACCTCCTGTGGTCCTGATAGTGTCCGCAGGAGACCCTGACTTCTTCCTCAGTCTGCTGGCCTCTTCTTCCTCCGCATGTCATTTGGGGTTCAGGCCACACTGACTGTCTCATCTTCAGAAAGTGAACCACACTCTCAAGGATCTCAGCCTTACCTACTTTGGGGTTCTGGAGTTTCTGCGAAAAAAACAAGTTCGATATCGCAAATCAGATTGTCATTTGTGATCATCAGTCACATACTTTTATGTGTATTCTTCCAGAATTTCATTAACTGGAGAATTCTAATGGTAAGCCAACCTCATCGCCTGTACTCTTTAAAAGTAAGAGTCTCAGAGTCTCCAGACTGTTGTTGATGCGATCTCTCCGGCGCTTCTCCATTAGTGGTTTGGAAAACTGCAACACAGCACTTATCAGCCAGGATTCACATTTAGCATTGCGACCTAGTTTAACGTAATTAGTAAAGTCTGATTAGTTACCGTAAAGTGAGATTACTAAAATGCACGCCAGAAAATAAGAACTAACTTACAATCCTTCCGCTTCTTTCGTCAGGCGTCGCGGCAGACATTGTCCTGTAAAGTGAGTCAATTTTCCAGCAATCCACTGGAATGAGGGTCCCTCGGGAGAGCTTTATGTCGAGACCCTAGAGACCACGCCTCCTGTTTCGCAATGTATATTCTAATAAGTGTGACGTAAATTTTAATGGGAAGAACGGGGGCAGATTTAATAAAGCAAATTCTACGACTATATTCTTGGTCAATATAATTTTATTAAACAACTTTTGTTATTTTTTATTCTTATATCATATAATTACACATATTGCACGGCTAGTAAAATTGCACGAATGGTATACACTGTATTTTGCAATATTTTCTTTTGTATGTTAAAGATTAATGGATACAATATTTTTATTTAACGCTTTTCCTTATTTTGGGTACTTTTTACTTAACATTGGTGTTTGTCTTGAAATCCTGTTTTCCCCAGTCTTAATAAAAATTGCTTGTTTATGTAATGTTTGTTTTGTATTAGGCAGGTTCAGGGAAGACTGAAAATAGCACTCAAAATAAACTCTGTTATATCTGGTAGAGAAAATAATTCATAGCTTAGTCAGAAGAATGGCCAAGCTAACTTGACCCTTGGTAAACCTGTGCCCACTGATCGGCACTGTTATGTTCAACATCTGTAACATGCACAGATAACTATGAAAATGGAGAGGATAATGTCCCCATTATAGAGGAGCTATGCCGAGATAACACGGGATGATCGGATCACTGACACCCCACGGAGATTAGCCCGAATTAGACGAGGTTGATGGTTCCGATCAAACAACAAGAAAAAAGGGGGATCCTTTGAGCTGGGCGCCGGATTATCGGCGATGCGTGCTGAGAGGAAACGGGAGCGCAGTGCAGCCTATTGTACTGCAGCGTGGAGCCCCTATTATGTCGGGTCATTCTTAGATCTTAAAAGGGTCGAAAGTTTTAACTTTCAGATAAGAAATAGAAGCATGCTTTATCACCGTCTTAAGCAGTTTAATAAATAATGATTATATAATAGTACAATAACCGAAAACTGCTCTATAGTATACTGGTTAAACAGGAAGAAATCGTTTTGCTATTCAAAGATTAAATATGTAACCAAATAGATGACTTACTGCTGGCAGAGTCATATTAGAAAATACATATTTAAAACTGGGAATCCCTGCTTTAAATCTGAAAAAAATACATTTATGTTTTGTAAAGATGATTAATGTAGCCTATTTACACTGCCATATGTGCATAAAACCATTTATAACATTGATAAGGTGCATCGACGCGATTTGCGCCGATTAGTGTCGCCCCCTATTGTATCACAATGCCGCTTTAATCGTTACTGTCCTGTCATTGAAACAAAAATTTACATTTAACTTATCTACTTACAATTTTAATAGCTAAACACGGTTTAGGTGAACGTAAAAGCGAAAATTGTACCGCTACATAATTTGGCAAGTACTATACGAAACAGTCGGACGTATTAAAGTGTGTTTTCCTTTTTAAATATGTGCATCAACTGTTGGGATTTTCCCTGCACCTTGGGTGGCTAGCGATTTAAAAAGGTCTGAACACCTGCGCTAAAGTTTGCCTTCATCTTAAGAGCTTCCCCGCCCCGTAAATGACTCTCACTGGAGGCCACATCGCGCTTGCCTGCGCTGCTAAAGAAATGCAATTAGTGACATCTGCCCTTTCCTGCTCTTCTGCCAGCCCTACGCATTTAAGAAGCCGTCGCTCCAATATAGCGAGCCGTCAAGCGCGTCTGTGTTGCAGACAAGATACAAAACGAAGGGTGGGGGGGTTACTTAATTACAGGATGTGGATTCTGATCCCGAGAAACAATTAGCAACAACGAAGACGCGCGTCTTTCCCCGCATATCTTCAAGTGGCGTAGTCTTCATGGGTTTTACCCGTTTCCAATTATGTAACCATGTTGGTAAAAATTTGGCATGTATATGTTAAAAGGTGATTAAACGGCCCCTTTTATCCCACCTCTAAGGGAACCAAATACACAGGCGCGCGCTTCACGCCTCAGTTGAAGTCCACGCTCACAATCGCACCTACAGTTACACATATTGAGTTAATTGAACAAGCAGTGACTCAAATGTTACAGCAATTTTTTCTCTTCACAGAATTTCACTTAGAGTAAGGAAACAGTAAAATTTCATGTGCATACAACCATTCATTTGCTTGTATCTGTTTGTGTATATATATATAGTACCCCCTTCCCTCCCCAACCGCACAGCTTCATTGCCTGCATTGATGTTTACTTACATTTTACAGGGGAAGGGAGTGTGTTTTATTTAGATAACTGCAGCTCCAGTATTCTAAAAATGAATGACATGTGGACAGATGCCAATCTCTGTCTGATTATACGTGATCTAAATTATACAGATAATTCAGGAAAAAAGAGATGAGATGAGCATTAGAGTAGAAAAGGATCAGACAAAAAAAGGTTATATAGCTAAGCAAAATCAGGCAGCAACAATTGAAATCAAAATAAAACTGATAGATCAGGCATCCAACTACATCAAGAGGCTCCTAAGACCCAAGTGTCACTTCGCCCTCTTTGGTCAGTATACCCAGGAGCACTGCTAGAGATTTTGGGCCCCCATATCATATTGCACCCCCCAATCCAGACCAATCCAATCATGTTCCAAATTTTTTAGGGCCCCTGTCAATCTGGGGCCCTTGAAATTCTCCTAAGTCCCCCCCCCCCCTTTACAGCACCTCTGAGCATCCCAATGCTACATAGAGCTCCCTCCATCACATGAGAAGCCTCACTCCAGACGTTCCTCATGTGTGGTTCCCCCGACGGTGGAACGAGCTGCTGAAGCACACATGGCCATCAGATTCCCACTCCACCTTCCAGAGATGCTTCAAGACCCACCTGTTCCAGGAAAACCTCTACTAGTGTAACACCATCCTATGTCTCCTCAGTGCTGCTCTTCCCGCTGATTGGAAAAATTGTCTTGTTAGGCTATTGCTTTGTTGTGCAGATGAATGGTTTAGGGGGGTTGAGTCATTACTGGGCGGGGGGGGGGGGCAATGGCAAACTATTGATGGCCTTTGGCAGCCCCTGGTTTAATATCCCATCTGAATTACGGCACTCTTATGAGCGCTGCACGGGGCTGTTCACGATTATCTCCGCAAAGTTGATAACAGAGCAAATGGTGCCCTCTACTGGTCCTTTAATGCAGTGTCGCAACATGAATCCAAAACGCCATGATTTCAACTTTCTAATTTCTAATATGAAAACGACTAGCCCCAGTCCCCTAGAATATTTATCTCTTGTCGTCAGATTAGTTCTTTTATATATTAATTCAAAATCACATTCAAAATCGCAATGGCTTGAAAAGGTTTTGATTTACTTGTATTTCAGGGACGAGTATTAACAAATTCATTTTAGAAACGTTGGACACCTACTTTTACGGACAAATTTATGCGAAGTAAACTAGTACTTATCAATCCCTCGTTCGCCCTCTCCCGTCTGAATCCTTTGCGGCCTGCATAGGCGCCTCTAGGATTTTCTCCCAGGGGTTGTGAGCTTCTGACCAGTCATTCACGCGAGAGACAGGAGTTTGGAGCCAAACCAGTCATTCAGTGTAGGCTACGCCTAACTGGGCTAAACATAAAAAATAGTAATTACATTTACAATAAATTACCATTACACGCTGATATGTCTAGTACACGCCACATTTTCAAATATAAATGTATCATTTAATTGTAATTTATATGTTAAAATAGCATTTTCATCTGACCAGTAGGTGGCACTGCACACTCGGTAAAATCGCCTATGGCGGCCTGGTTGTGTTGTTTGAACAATTTAAAGAACATGAAAAACCAGAGAGATGTTTTGAGACGACAAAACAAGTGCGTCTTACTGTCCTGCCCAAACCCTAGTGCGTTCTACTGGGCATCTTCTTAAGGGCCAGCAGAGACTGTGGAATTGTGGGTTTTTCAAATTCCCCCACTGCCTGGATAAGTGCTCGGAGCTGCTAACGGGACGGTAATCAGCCAGCAGTACCTCCAACTGCAGCAAGGGGGCGATAATCAGCCAGCAGTACCTCCAGCAGCAGCAACAGCTTCAGAGTGAACTCGACTTTTTTTTTATCCGAGAATCTTATTGCTGGCCGTTCTGGATTCCTGTTATAGGAATTGCTCGTGAATTCTCCAATTCTCCAGTCTTAATCCTGCGTGGCCTGTCTCTGCGCCGAATTTGTTCTGCTCGTGTGTTTAGTTCTGCTAAATAAATAATTAGAATGACCTTCACCTGTTATAAGAACTACTTAACACTGGCTTTTAAAAAATGTGGGGATGTGCAGGGCCACGGTGGAGTTACACTGGCGTTAATGTATTTACCCTGTGTCAGTCGTTGTAAGGTATGACTGCCTGGGGTGCCAATGTAATACAGCCAGGTATTATGTCCTGGTCCGTGTTCGTGCACATGTGTTTATATTTGTGCATATGCATATAAGGTTGATTCCCAGATCTCCTACACAGTGTCAGGGATTTATCTCCCTCCATCCTAAGACCACCCCCCCACACACACACACACACACACACACACACACACACACAAATTCAGCAGGAGTGATGTGCCTCCCCCCATCTAAAATTGCTACATTGATGGTGACAAGGATTCCAAACATGCCCCCACCCAGATTGTCCCCAGCTGCTGGGATATTAAACACTGAATTTCTATGCTTCAGGATTCTCTTCAAAGTTAAGATGTCATTTCTGGAATTCTTCAGCTAACCCCAAAAGGAAATTAAATAAGTCATTCAATTTTCCAGTGAGTTTCCCCCCCATGTTTACAGATCAGGCTTTTAAGTGTAATAGTGAAGGTGTTTACCTCGTTTTTTGAGTTTTTTGAGATGTTACATGATGATCAGATAGATAATAGTGTGGGATTTTTTAAAGAGCAAGGTATCATTTTCGTGTCAGACTTTGGAAATACACTGCGTGCATGTGCTTAATGTACTATTGTCGCTTACTTTTATCTGTCTTGTATAATTTACTGGAACAGGAAACACGGAGATCAATTTGGCTAGCTAAAAGCAATTTTAATTTGGTGCAGAAGACATGTGATAAATATTTAAATGGTTGTCACTGTGTGGTATTTTTGCAGAGTGGCAAGTTGGACATATATATACAAAAATTACACCTTGATTATCCTATCTGGATTTTCTCTAAAGGGCCACTGTGTGCTTTTATGGTCGTCAGGGATTTGGTTTATATTTTATGAAGCAAATATGTATTAAACTCAGACAAACATTTAACAACTATTTTTAATGCGCCGTAAATTGTTTCCGGACCCTGGAAACCAATTTTGTGTCCCTAAACATGACAACCTGGCTCTGATTCCTTAAATTACTTTGTGCTATTTTCTGGTATTTTGTACCTAAGTGTACTTTTACACTGTAAATATAATATATTTGTTACTTGTTGGCCTCACTGGATAGGAAACTGATAACGTAAATGTTTTGAATTATTTATTTGATGTACTTAAACAGCGAATCTGCTCTGTGACAGTCTAGTTGATTATTCTATTAAATGCTGTAGAAATGAAAATACTCATTAACATATGTTGCCGGATAAAAACAGCCACGACAATCTGACCAATTGCAATATCTGTACGTAGTTCATAAATAATAAGCACGCTATAAGACAGAGAGGTCAATTGGACGGTGGATACAGTAAGGCCCGCCCTATTCTTAGAATAATTGATGGTCGCTTTTAAAGCGGTGTGGACAGGCAGCTTCCATCCCATGTCCCTGCAGAAGGCATATAAGAGGCTGGTGTCGCGACTATCGTCTGCATACACTTAGGAAGAAAATCCTCCATTTTCCTATCTCCGTTTGAATACTAATTCATACAAGCATCAAGGAACATCGAGTTCACCAACATGTCAAGACCACTTTCGGACCAAGAAAAAAGGAAGCAAATTTCCGTGCGAGGGCTCGCCGGAGTGGAAAACGTCGCAGACATCAAGACCAATTTTAATCGTCACCTTCACTTCACGCTAGTCAAGGACAGAAATGTGGCGACGAAGCGCGATTACTACTTCGCCCTTGCTAATACCGTCCGCGATCACTTGGTGGGCAGGTGGATCAGGACCCAGCAACATTATTATGAGAAGGACCCGAAAGTAAGCCTGCCGCAGTGCTCCGGTTCTTACCTTCTACTTCGCACGTACACCAGCACACTCGCTAGATGACATTTGGCTGCGGGGAGGAGAGAATGTCATGCATGTTGAAAATAGCTTTGATGGCGCTGGATGTTACACAGATACCAATTACATGCGACGTTGCAGTCAAAAAAAGCCAGCTTTGCATATACGTTTTGTCAATGAATTGCATATTATGAAAGAGACGCATTAATTATTCAGTAACTCATGATCAACAATTGTATTAAACTTGACATTTAATTCGCCTGTTTGCTTGGTATTAGTTTTTGAGTGCGCTCGCATTGCAGTGGTTTTATTTGAACGGCGCTGGGATCACGTCAACAGAGTAGAAAGATAATTAGACAAATTCAACATATTGTGTTTTTCAGCTGTGGGATCAATATGCCCTTGAGAAACTCATCACTGTTTATGTGACCCAGCATTTCCGAGGCTTTATGACGTAAATAAAATTTTTGCTACAAAATTACAGTGTTACCGAAACATATGAACTGCTCTGCTTTTTATATCTTTTAAAAAGCCGCAAGTTCGAAAATCAACAATAGTATAAATATATCAACAATTACATGCATCCACAATAATATGAATGTAGGCCTATATTATGTGTTTTAGTATGTGACAAGAACTCCGATACTCATGGTGGGGTCAGACGTGGTCTGCTACAGCCGTATAGTCTAACATCCAAGCGTTGCCTGTAAGAACATAAGAAATTTACAAACGAGAGGAGGCCATTCGACCCATGTTATGTGTGTAATATAAAGACCACGTAGGACTATAGCTCCCATCAATGTCTAAGGAAATTGACATTAATATGAACATGTTATCTGCATCTCCTTACACTGGTATTACTGAAATCTATTTAAGGGGAGTCCTTGCACATACAGTATACACAGACAGACGCAGCTGTACATTTCAGTGGGGGGAAGTGCTCTTTCTGCACTTAGAAGCTAATTTACCTAAAAGAAGAAGATGAAATTAAGCAGCACCTATTACCCGCATATATAGTCTGTGGCTGGATGAGCATGTGTGTGCACAAATAAATACTCCAGTGTTCCGTTATGTCTTATGTTAGCATAACCATTCCGAAAGAATGACATATATCACAGATAGTCTAAGCTTTCAGAATGAGCCCTGGCTGTGCTATTTTTAAGCCATCTGAAAAGCCAGGCCAGTACAATCCCTCTAACCCTCTCCAGCTGTCATTCCTTTGTATTCTGTCCTGTTCCCCACCAGTCCAGACAAATTTTACCAAAGACTCCAAAGGACCCAGGGCCTGTAATTGGTTGGATAACAGCAATTATGATAAAACGATGAAAGTCAATAATTTGCAGTTGTCTGTGTGCTTACATTGCAAAACTGCAGGTAACACTTTACTTAAAGCATTTATGTATCATGCATTATAGATACCTTCATAGTGCATTATAATGCATTCATAAAGTATTATAAACACGCTATAACTATTTATAAAAAGTCATAACACGTTATAGGCATGTTTATTATGCATTATGAATGCTCTATGAAGCTCTTATCTATAATGCACTATAGATACGTTCATAATGCATAATAATGACTTATACTGACCATTATAATGCATTATGAAAGTGTCTATAGTCCATTATACACGAGAGCTTCATAGAACACCCATAATATGCCTTTTTATTAATAGCCATGTTTATAATACTTTATGAATGCACTATAATGCATTATGAAGGTATCTATAATACATTATGATGACTGCTTTAGGTAAAGTGTTACCAGACTTCATTTAATCAAATTAATTTCTGGACTCTTTGCACCATTCATCCATATTCATCCATTTATTTTCAATTGGAATTTATGTACCATGAACAATGTCCTGTAGTCTTAAATAAAGGTCCAGGAAGATCTGCCTGTCCCTACCTCAGTATTTAATGAACCATTGAAACTTGATCCAGGGGCCTATTTCAGAAAGTAGGATATCTTGCCTAGCTGGATAACTTGTTCGATTTAAGGTATCCAAATTTAAATAGACTTTATCTTTGTCCATTAACAATTAACCAAAGACTACCTTAAATCTGATCCAGAGACAATTGTCCCGTGTTTCCTCAGTGGTATTCCATGGCAATTAAAGAAATAAAGCTTTGTTTTGTTCCTCTCTCCAGCGTGTTTACTACCTCTCCTTGGAGTTCTACATGGGCCGCACGTTGCAGAACACCATGGTGAACCTGGCTCTGGAGAACTCCTGCGATGAAGCTATGTACCAGGTGACAGAATCATGCAAAAACGACATGCATTTTCATGGGTGGTGGGCGTGGTCCTAAAAAGCCACCAAGGCATTGTAACATATGTCAGTATCAAGTGTGACATTATTCCTATCGCATTACATCTCACAGTGTAAAAGATCCACTCAGAGACACAGCTAGTTCTAATGAATGCAGCAATTGGTAGAGCGGCTCCCTAAGAGGCATGAGGGCCTTTCCCAACACTGACAGGTCTGCTACGTGTCCTGTCTTCCCAGTTGGGCCTCGAAATGGAGGAGCTGCAGGACATGGAAGAGGATGCCGGATTAGGGAATGGTGGGCTCGGACGTCTTGCTGGTAAGGAAATCGTCTCATTTGCCATTTCTTTCCTTGAAAACAAAAGACCTTGAAGCTGGACTTAAGGTAGTCTCGGCTAAAGTGAACAAGGGTAAAGTCCATTTAATCTGGGGTACCTTAAATCTGACAAGTTATCTAGCTAACCAACAAATCTCACTGCATGATTCAGGCCCCTGGATATTTAAGCTTGAGGTGGGGATCGTGTGTTAGTTGACATTAGGATTTTTTTTACACTCCTTCTCTATTCCTGGGTTTCCCATCCCGGTCCTCAGACACCGCCGGATGGTCCACATTTTTTGCTCCCTTCCAGCTCCCGTAGTGGCTGGGATACTGGGAGGGAGCAAAATCATGGACCATCTGGATGTCCCCGTGGACCGGGGTGTGGAAACGCTGCTCGGCGGTACTCACTGTCATGCACTTTATTATTTACCGCAGCCTGTTTCCTGGACTCAATGGCTACTCTGGGTTTGGCTGCCTATGGATATGGTATCCGCTATGAATACGGCATCTTCAACCAGAAGATTGCCAATGGCTGGCAGGTATGTCAGCAGTTTAAATTGATGAGTCCCAGTGTCCGTGTGTGAGAGAGGGGTCATTTACTGAATGCTCCTGGGAGTTTCCTTACACATCAATGTGCTGAGGGCAGAACGAAAAATGATTGGTTCAGAGAGATAATCAATCAGATTGTAGAAGAGGTGGGTCCAAGCAACTAGAAGAGGGGGGATCAAGACATCCGATTGGTTGGTCCTGCCTCCTCTACAATCTGATTGGTTATGTCTCTGAATCAATCATTTTTCATTCTGCCCCCAGAACATTTTTGTGTAAGTAAAACTCCCATGAGCCAACTTAACAGCACTCCGTGATATTCACTGCATTTAGTGATTATATGTTTGTGTCGATGATCTTAAATAAATATTGCACTTGCTACTCTACACACTGATTTACAGTCACTTATTCTGGATAAAAGTCTGCGCCAATAGTTTCTCTTCCAAAAAATGAGATGGTTTAAAAACATGTACACCATCTTAATCAGTGATAAGTAATTCTTATCCCCAATCTCACCAATATTCCCATTATTTCATTTGTGGTTCTCATGTGATTTATGTAATTTAACCTACTTTTGATTTGTAAGAATATTCAGGCGTTCATTATTAATATGCATCTGGATGGAAGCATCAAGTTACACTATGCCAAGGAGTACTGTAAGAGTTTTATCACTGATATCTACCGATAGATTGAGGAGGCTGATGATTGGCTGCGTTACGGAAACCCCTGGGAGAAGGCCCGTCCGGAGTACATGCGACCCGTGCATTTCTATGGCAGGGTAGACCACTCGGCTGATGGAGTGAAATGGGTCGACACTCAGGTATGAAAGAGGAACAGGGAGGATGAGTGGCATTGAACTGTTTGTGTGAAGAGTATAGGTAATTACAGCTAAAGAATGTAACATAGTATTAATGTATAATGCTACAATATCATAGCATGGGTTTTTATGCCTGTATTTGAAAAATTAAGTAGTTAAGATCAGGAAAATGCTTGAATCAGCTGTAAAGGGGTAATCTGTGCCTAATTGTCTTTTGTGCCAGGTTGTCCTGGCATTGCCCTATGACACCCCTGTTCCTGGTTACCGAAACAACATTGTCAACACCATGAGATTATGGTCGGCCAAGGCTCCCTGCGACTTCAACCTGAAAGACTGTGAGTCTGAGGCGTCAGAGAGGGAGCCGGACGCTCCTGCCGTCCTCAGGTTGTTCGGTGTCCTATGGGAGATGCCTTTTCCTTCATGTCGTGCAGTTTCATCCCTAATTGTGTAACCAGGAAATTCCCTGTATTGAAATATTCTACCACAGACGCCCAACTAAGACCCTAAAATCCACAACCATTCTAACCACAGATACTGTTTACAGTCTGTGACAGTGGGTTTAAAACCATGGTGGCTGGTAGATTAGGGAACTGGGCGAAGTGGTGGGTTTGTATCCTGCAGCTGTGGTCAGAGCAGATACATGACTGTTGGACCCTTGAGTAAGGCACTGAACCCCAAATGCCGCGGGATTGATGGACGCTCTGAGACCCCAAGCTTTCCTCACTTGTACTTCACTAAAGGCAAAAACATTTACTAAAGAAATAAATGGAAGCTGAACCCACACCCTGTATAAAAAACAGCTGTAAAACATATATGTTGAATAATAGTGGGCTGTTCATTGATACATGTGTTTTTCATTGAACAGTCAATGTTGGTGGCTATATTCAGTCTGTGCTGGACAGGAACTTGGCTGAGAACATCTCCCGCGTACTCTATCCAAATGATAATGTAAGAAAATAACCATTGAGTCATTTCGTTTAGCCAACATGAGATTAGTGTTGCTGTTCTGTCATGTAATACTGTAACGCTACTGTAATGCATTTGGTAAGTCGTTAGCCGCAATTTAGCATCATTATGTTTTATTTGAGTGGGACTGTCTGACCCATCTGACTCATGGCTGTCTGACCCAAGTTCTTTGAAGGCAAGGAGCTGCGTCTGAAACAGGAGTATTTCGTGGTGGCTGCCACCCTCCAGGACATCATCCGTCGCTTCAAGTCGTCCAAGTTCGGTTCCACGGAAGTCGTGCGTACAGACTTCAGCACCTTACCTGATAAGGTGAGTGATCCGGTCCTTGTTCTAAGACTGGTGTCTATGGTCGGCGATGTCTGATAGGCTTTTCTGGTCCGATATCCTTGTTGCCTAATTTGAGGTATTTTTTTGGGGGGATGCAGGTTGCAATTCAGCTTAATGATACGCATCCTGCGATGGCCATCCCTGAACTCATGAGGATCCTAGTCGATGATGAGAAGGTGTCTTGGGACAAAGTGAGTGTGGAGAACAGCCCCCCTCATTGGGTTTGCATTACCTGAGCTGTCGTCTCAACAGTTTCCTCCCTGACTGTCACTTCTGCTCACTTTTTTAGGCGTGGGCCATATGCATGCGTACCTGTGCTTACACCAATCACACCGTCCTGCCCGAGGCCCTGGAGCGCTGGCCCGTCGACCTGTTGGCGCACCTGCTACCCCGACACTTGGAAATAATCTACGAGATCAATCGGCGCCACCTTGAGGTGAGAGATGGAAAAATATACTGTCGCTTTGCATTCATTAAAGTAGATTCATCTAAGCCAATTTTGCTTGATTTCTTGAAAGTCGGTTTTAGATTTCCCGGTGCAAATTTTATATGCTGGTTGGATTATTTGTGCCTTTCCAAGATCTTTTTTCATTCCTTCTCTTTCTCCCGCTAGCGCATCGCTTCCCTCTACCCAGGTGACAATGACCGGCTGTGTCGCATGTCCCTGATCGAGGAAGGTGGGCATAAGAGGGTCAACATGGCCCACCTGTGCATCGTGGGCTCCCATGCCATCAACGGGGTGGCTCGTATTCACTCCGACATCCTCAAAGCCACCGTGTACGTGCCTCCCAGCCAAGCCTCTCTTGCACACATGCAGCGAAGTACGTTAAAACAGATTTCACCATTGACCATCGATGGTCCCTATAGGTTCAAAGACTTCTATGAGGTGGATCCAGAGAAATTCCAGAACAAGACCAATGGCATCACCCCCCGACGCTGGCTGGTCATGTGCAATCCTGGATTGGCAGAGGTTATTGCGGAGGTATGGGAGGCGCACCATCTCACATCTGCAGGAACAATTATGAAACGTGATGTAATGTTGTCTACTTTCAGTTATTTCAGAACATTAGAACCGTTACAAAATGGATGATAGGTCTTGTATAAACCTTAAGAACACATCCTTAACATAAATATCACACTTATTGTACTTTACAATGTATCAATTGGTCTGTATGAGTATTTTGTGTACGTGAATTATTTTATAAATTTGTGCACAATTGCAACTGCGACAGAGAATTGGAGAAGACTACATCCGCGATCTGGACCAGCTGAAGAATCTGCTGCATCTTGTGGACGATGACGCCTTCATCCGAGATGTTGCCAAGATCAAACAGGTGCCAAGACCAAACACTGCCAGTTGTACCTCCATTGTCAGTGTAAATGTTGGTATTACAAACATGTAGAAGCTCTTAGTTTGGATCAGGTCTCATTCACGTTTGGAAAAATCGATGTGCAGCCCCAGATAGCTTGGCTTACTTCTGCGGTAACTATTGATGCATAGCTGTTGGAATAAATATGTGATGTACAGTAGAACATTACATGCATCAATAACCAAGGCATCAGCCTGCATTTGAACTGTGCCTGTCTCTGTAGGAAAACAAACTTAAGTTTGCTGTATACCTGGAGGAGCAGTACAAAGTGAAAATCAACCCCGAATCCATGTTTGATCTACAAGTCAAGAGGATCCATGAGTACAAGAGGCAGCTTCTAAATTGCCTCCATATTATTACCTTCTACAACCGTGAGTGCTTCTTCTTTGGATAGACGCCATTACTACAATATAGACAGACTGAACATCAACATGGCTTTTTTTAACAGGCATCAAGAAGGAACCCAACAAGGACTGGACTCCTAGAACCATCATGATTGGTGGAAAAGTAAGCGTCCTCCGCCAACTGCGTGGAACAGATTGAATGTTCTGGCTGCCACCGGTGGCAGACTATTCAGGCCGTGATTTTTTGGTCTATACAGATTTAAATATTATAGCCAGTTACTAGCCATGCATCACTTTCGCTTTGTCATCATCTGTTCTGCTAGGACAACACAGTTCCTTTCCCTCCATCCTGTGTCTCTGATCTCCTCCTCAGGCAGCCCCAGGCTACCATATGGCCAAGATGATCATCAAGCTCATAACTAGCATAGGAAAAATTGTCAATAATGATCCTGTGGTAGGTGACCGGCTCAAGGTCATCTTCTTGGAGAACTACAGAGTCACCCTGGCTGAGAAAGGTATTGGCCTGTGGGTCTAGGGAGTGCATGATTATTGGGGAATATCATAATATTGTTTATGATGTTGAAACACGGACATTGAGATACATATGAATTTAATATATTCAGTTATTTCGTAGTATTTTCAGTGTCAAGGTCAAGGTCAAGTTTATTTATATATCACAGGGCTATTCATTCCACTGTCTTCGAGGTCCAAGCACTGCTGATTTCCCGGCCTTCCTTTACCTGTGGGCCGGATATGAAGCCTCTGACCAATCAGAATCAGTCATTATAAAACTAACTACCTGGGAGAACTGAAAACAAGGCCTGGATTTGGGATCGAGGGCCAGATTTGAAGAGCCCTGATATAGCATATTTAAAATCAACAGAAGTTGTACCAAAGTGCTGTAACGAGTAAGAGAGAGAATAAAAGAAGTAAAATAAAAAGAATAGATAAATAAATCAGTACTTTATCGATGCATTTTACAAAATGGAACTATTTCACCTTCTTCCAGCTACAGTCATTTACTATGGAATAAAAAAGGAAACAGTAAGTTGGCTAAATGCAAATAGTGTCGTGCTATATTGAGTCAGCTGACATTGCCCTCCATCCCCCCCCCCCCCCCCCCCCCCCCCCCCCCCCCCCCCCCCCCCC